TCTGAGAAAATGAGGTCATGCAATTGCATTAATTTTTTGCTCCTGTGTTCATTATGGAAGATCTGAGGAAATTCACCACACCACTTTTGAGGCATTCATCAGAGAAGTTGCTTCAAACTTCTTGAAGATGCTGCAGTATCAACAGGATGAGATTATGCTCTAGAGGAACCCAGTGAAACATGTGAACTGCTAATTGTGGTGTGTGAGCTCTCACTTGAAATTGCTCTGGTGCTAAAGAAGGGCAAGTAGCAAACAGGTTTATAAAGTTTTGAAAAGGTTCTAGGGAAAGCCAGGAAACTACAGCCCACTAAGCCTGACACCTGTACTAGGCAAGCAGGTAAAAACTTAACATAAAAAGTAGAATTAGTGTGCATCTAGATAAATATGATCTGTAAGGCAACAGTCAGAACGCTTGGTAAACTGCTGATGCATAAATAGCTGCGTGAGCTTAAAAAACTGAGTGGGTATAACAGCAACACATGAAATTCAACATAGATCAATATAAACCACAGCTCATTGAGAAAAGCAAACACAACAGCAAATGTAAAATGATGGGCTCTGACCTTTATTGCTCAGACATGAGATCCTGCAGTTATGACAGACAGTTCTGTGGAAACCTCAGCTCCGTGCACAGCAATAGTCAAAAAAAGAAACCAAAGTTTAGGAAGTGCTCGGGAACAAAGAAGAAAACAAAGAACATCATCACACCTCTGCATAAGCCCATGTTATACCTGCTTCTTGAATACAGTGCATACTCTGGGACTCCCATCTCAAAAAGAAACAAGAAAAAGTTTGGGTAAGAGCAAGGAGAGTAAGGTCAAAGGTAGGAACTGATTCCCATATGAGGAATGATTAAGTAAATGAGGTTTCTTCAGCCTGAAGAAGAGGCTGCAGGGTGCGGCTTAACGAGGAGATGACTGCAAAGGGATGGATTGCCGACCGCTGCTTCTAAAACCGTGCAATATACAAACAGACAGCAGGTACAAAGCAAACTAAAGGAGGTGCATTTTCTTGTAATGCTAATTAAGCTGTGGTACTCCTTGTCATTGTTATTGTGGATGCTAAAATTTTATAAAGTCTCTCGCGAAGACTGGACAAATCTATGGGTAGCAAATTAATGAAGGATTGTTACATTCACACACACACACAAAAAATCCCACCCCACCCTCTAGGAGGTCTCTGAGTTTTATATTCCCAGAGGCTGGGCAAATATTCAGGGAAGGATCCCTACGTGCTTGTTCTATCCCTACTCCCCTTCCTAGGCATTTATTTTTGGCTGCAGTTGGAGGCAGGATACTGAGGGGGGTGGACCTCTGGTCTGACCCTGTACAGCTGTTCTAATGTTTTTATGATCTCATTTATCATTAAAAAAAGCGCTAATCTTTCTGTGACACTAAAGTGACTAAAAATTCAGAGAGGGGGTTGAGAAGAAGTTTAAATAAAGAATACTCATGTCTGGAAAACATTAAAAAGAGGGCCAAAATCATAAGCTAAATGAAATTGTTTCCCAACTCATGCATTTTATGATGCATAATGTGAAATATGGCAAAGTCAGCTCAAGATTTTACAATGAGTACTATCTGTTCTGAGAGGGAAGACATTAAAGCTGTATACAATAGACTTCCTGCTAGGAAGGTGAGAGGGGAGGGGAACTCAGCATCCCAAAGGATGCACTGGTAACAACCCCAAACCAAGAGATGTGAGTCATCAAAGCTGCAAAGCTATGGGAGAAAATCCAGGAAGCCAGACTAAAAATAGGAACAGAAGGGAAGTGGGGGGAGACAGAAATAAAGAGAAAGAAATCATTTAAAACAAGAAAAGAGAACTTGGAAAGAGTTGCCAGGAGCTGAAAAGCGCTGGAGGTAGCCACACCACCAGCCTTTCAGGCCAGCATACATTTGTGCGGGCCTCACAAGAGGCAATCCAGTACATCCCATTATCTCATAACCAGCACTCCCTTCTGCCAGTGCTTACACTGTGCATGAATGTGCTGCTGTGTGGTGAGCTGAACTCAGAAGCAATTCATCTATAAACTAATGCTTTATGGCAACCAGGCTTATGGTTCAGACTAGCCTTAGGATCTCTCTGGGGAGTGGAGTTTGAGGATCAGGTGTTGCTCTACAGCTTGCACCCTCATCCAGATGCCTGGCATACAGGTTAAAGATGTGGAAGCCTGAAGGAGAGGAAAGAAAGGCAGCTAAGAAGGAACCGTACTTTTAAATACAATACGTAATAGTAGTGTACATTTTTATTTTGTTTTGGTTAACGTTTTTCAGTCTCATAATTGTAGTTGTTGCCTACCTACAATAAAGATGTACTCACTTGACCCACAAGCTTGTCCAGTGCTCGCTGATATAGGTGGTGCTGAGAAATACGAGGCACATTTCTTTGGGGATAAAAAGTTTGCATAAAATGTGCATTCAGGCACTGCTAGTAAACCTGTACCCTACAATCTAAAAACATATGGTAACATTGCAAGGTGCAAGGCTCCCTGAAGTAAGTGTACACCCATGTTTCTCCTGCAAAGATCACAATACAGAGCAGGACCCCGCAGCCGTGGACAGGCCCTTCATCATCTTATTTATAGCCTTCTTATGATAAATTGCAAACTACAATAGTACTCATTCATGCTTTATGTAATGTACTTTGGGCTTAAATTATGAGTCTGTCTATTTTTTCCCCTGAAAAGAAATTCCATTCCTACATACATAAAAGCCCTGCAAAAAGCCGTAATTATTTAGGACTTAGGAAAGAAATGGTAAGGAGTTGCCTTCTTTCTTTAGGGCTAATGGAGTCATGATTACTTTGCTTATCTTTAACCCTGATGTCACTAAGGAAGGGTGGGTTAACATTTTCAGTGCCATGGTCACAAGGATAGACAACAACGGTGTAAACTGTTTGCCTGTGCCCAAGTTCAGCTGCTGAGCCTGCGTGAAGCACTAGAAACTATTCTCTGATGCTTATTGCTTCCCTCTCTCTCTCCTACAGAAACAGCAGCTCAAACAAGTGCACGTAGGAGGCTCGGAGAAAAAGGCACCATGTAGACCTTTTTCTTTGTGCCTCTACAGCAGAAAAGGTGGCGGGTCGGCTGCAGCTTGCACTCTGCCATTTGGGTCACTCTGCTTGAGGTCAAGAGTAAGATTTCAGACAGGTAAAATGGGATGTGGAAGACGAAAAGCAGAGAGGAAATGAGTGTCATCTCCTGCCATGAGCTGCAGAAGAAAACATGTTTAAAATTCGTCAACTATTTTGTTTTTTCCTAGTGGTATTAATCTCAGTAATCTTAAGAATTGCCAGGTATTTTAGCACTTTACAACTCACTTTTCTAGACTTCCCTTATCTGTGCCCAACAGTTAGAGCCTTCTATTGAGAGTCCATCTTGTGGACTGTTGTTTTTTGTAGTATTCTTAGCAACTTGTCAAAACACCAAAAAATGTTTTGAGCTTTTCTTCATCCTTCCTTGTTTTTCCTGGTTTCCTCAACTAAGTTGATTGATATACTAAACCTCTCAATAAACGGGCAGACAAAAAAGTTAGACTATTTATAAACAATTAGTGAGACCTTCCATAAATATTGTGAGAATTTAGGATGTGGTTTCACATCAGTTAAAATGTCATCTAGGCTGTAGCAGTCCTGCCATCCCCCACTGTAGCCCAGATACCTGCTCCCACCTCTTTCACTAGCACTGCCACAGCGGTACGGGAGGTTGATTCAGCTGGAGACTAAGCTGCTTTCTGACTCAGGTGCAACTTCCAGTGGCTAAAGCTGTGCCGGGACTGGGGGAGCCCACTCTTGGGTTGACTGTGGAATCGCATCCTTAGTCTTTCTAGAGTAAAAAACTGCAGAAAGCTTTCTTTTTTTTTTGTCTGTTGTGGGTAAGAGGAGATTTTTCAGCCCCAATGATCTGTAATGTTATACAGGGATAAAGCATTGCGTGCTACTTCCAAAAAGGGAAAGGGTGTGCGTGTGGTTAAGGTTTCAGAAACATCTAATTAGAGAGGAAGGAAAGTTGAAACATTCAGGCATCGCGATGGAAGGTTAACCAGTTGGAGCCCTGGGGAACAGTAACAGAAGATATAAGAAACAAGTACTCAACAGACAACATTTTTTCTGAGTTTTGTAAGCTGTTATCAGGTTCCCGCCTTCACTTGCTCGCTCTGCGTTTGATGCACAAACCCTGTAATGCAAAATGCACAAACAGCACCGGGATCGTAAGCCGGACTCCAGCGCTCATTCCTTCTCTCCCCTCAGGGCACCCCCTCCCGTCTGTTCCCCTCCGGCCCCCGGCTCCTGCCC